TTGGAAATAAAAAATTATGAATTGCATGTGCGTTTAAACTTCAGTAAATTAAAAAATATGTTATTCCAAAATTCGCTTGAAGATGAAACAGAACAAATGCTTTTAATTTAATTATTTAATTAAATTTGAAGATTTTATTTTCGGTTTTTTGAAACTTGGTAATTCCTTTGTAGCGAAGAAACCATATTTTAAATCAGTTAATTTACAACATATATATATATATATATATATATATATATATATATATATATATATATATATATATATATAATGACAGCCAGTAGCTAGTAACAGTAATCGTTTCACTCACTTTGTGAGTCAGCGATTGGACTTTATTTGATTAACAACCCGGGTTGCGCTTCCGAATACGTTAACGGAACGTTCATGGTATTGCGCAGGGCGTCGGTCGGTTAAACATTTACGCTTTTTAGAAGCGGTACACATAAAGCTTCATCGACCGACTTTGTGCAGGCAGAAGAACTTTCTTGGTTGGGTCGCGAGAAAAAAAATTGTTTCATACTCACTAGTAACTTATTTACACCGATTTGGTTTTTTATAGTAATAAATTTACTTTAGTTGTGGCTCCTTATTTACACTACTCCCCACCCCGTTTCTACCTTTTTCAATTTCGCCGTTTTAACTATTTTTATTCCAACGAATCTTTCTGAAGTCAGAATGTCATAAATTATACTAATGTTGTTTAACAAGTCAAATGCGCGTGAAACCCGCTTAACCAATGAAAATCAAATAACGCAGTAAAGAAAAATATCAGAATTTGTTCTCATTCTCTGATGAAACTTTACTAAAAGGGAAATATGCTAGGTTGAGAAATTTTTTTTTTCTTTATCCTATCATTCCTACGATTAATTATTTGATCCATATTTGATCCCAATTCACACAGAGTCACACAGACACATACACACATATATATATATCGCGTGGTCATGTGTGACGTCGCGAGCTGCGACGTGATTTTCGCTTCCGCGTCTCGTATACACGATTTAGTTGTTGCTTTGAAATTTTTCAGGCAACAAAAACAGACTATCATTATTTTTTCGTCCGTGTTATTATTGATATATTGAAAAGTAATTGTCATCTTTGATAATGGCTTATGTAAGCCGAAAGCATAGATTGGATTTAAACATGTATCAGTATGGTGATTTACTTTCGTCTTTCAATGATAATGTTATTTAGCTTCTCAGACAATATGAAAGGAACTTACTTAAAATAAATAGACAAAACTTGCCTATAAAACATATATATATATATATATATATATATATATATATATATATATATTACAATAATTTCTCCTTATTTTTAGTGTAATCTTTTCATATTCACGAATATTTTTCCGTGTATTGCAATCAAATGAGGCAAGGAATGCACTGTAACATTTGATTGTAATAGACGGGAAAATATTCGTGAATATGAAAGGATTATGCTAAAATAAACAGACATAATGATTGTTACTTATTTAAACAGACATACTTAAAAGAGAATTTGTTTCCTAAATACACACACACACACACACACACATATATATATATACAAAATGCAAACACATCCTTACTAATACTCGCACAATTATACAGTGTCCGCCGAAAAATATATACACACTTCAGGGAAGAAAAAACTTGTCTAGATCTTGTAATACTAAATTTATTCAAACATCACGAGATTAATACAAGTTGCTTTTGGACTTTTCAATCACAAGGGATGCTCAAAATGGTGGTCTTTTTAGCTTCCAGACATTTATTATTAGGGCCAAGTATTGGTTGGGCAACGTTGGCCAATGTGTCGAATCTGATTGCTGCACATGCATTTTCAATTTCTTGTCTAAAGGCCGCCAATGTAATGCCATCTGCCTAACAAATATCGTAATACAGTAAACAGTATTTTCGCAATTTGATATAACGACAAAAGATAAGGTTTTCCTTTCCTGAAATTGTGTATACATTTTTTCGCGGACTCTTTATATATACACAAATATACACACGCACATATACTTACACACACACACACACACATATATATACATATATACACAGTTAAATACACACTCACATACATACATACACTCCCGTGGATACATATACATTTTTCTATGTGAATAAACTCAAATATATATCAATTTGCTGATCGATCATTGCTTTTAGGAACACATTTTGACTCAGAAGTGATCGATATATTGAGACGTACCACCCTCATTCCTCTTGTATTCCATTAGTAAGGAGGAAGTTCCACTCGGATAGCTTTTTCTCATGAACTGCTGCTTTGTGGAACAGAATCCCAGGCGGATGCTTTTCAGAGTAATACCAACCTTAACCTCTTCACGTCTAGGGTTAATCGTTATCCTTCAGACATATCTTCATAAACAGTGCCCTCTACTCATACAGCAACCCACTTAAGTAACCCTCTTCCTTGAGTAGGCCTTGGGCCTTGTATAGTGTCAACATTAGTGAAAAAAAGGATCAAACGGGTAACCTATTAAAAATATTCACAAACTTCAGAAAAGTCTTCTTATTCTTCTTTCATGGCTCTCCACAACATCTTTTGTTGTTCTAAGAAACACTAGCTCTTTTAAAAATTACAAATCCCCAAAATGATCCTTCCTCTGAACAGTCAGTTTTCTTATTTTTTTATATGCCATCTTCTTTCAGGATCATGGCTCTCCACAACTTCTTGTCTTTCGTTGCTCTAAGACTTGCTCCTTAACAATTACCACCCCTCTTTGTCCCTGGTCTGCCATACATTTGCACAAACTCGTTTAGCCTACTCGTCGCTTCCTCTTGATTTCAGTGTTTCCCGTGAGTGTTAATTTCTCCATACCTTCTGTTCTCATTATGCGTCTCGTTCTGTTTATTAGCATCAGATATTTTTCCTAGTTCCGATTTTCCTAAAACTTCACAATTACTCACATAGTCTGTCTCACATATGTTTAAGGAATCGGGGAGCCGAGTTCGAATTCCAGTCGAATCCATTACACTTTGGGAAAGGTATGAATCCTCTTCTTCTTTCCCTAAGGTGAGTTATGGGTAAGTAGCAGGACAGACTGTAGCATTGGATGGCAATTGGTCTACCGCAGAAAGAAATGGCAACCTGCTGCGGGAAAAAATCTGCCTCGTTAGTCATGTATCACGCATGGCACATAACTGTCTGTCTCAGGGTTCGTTAATAGGAGCACATCTCGTCGCTAGTGATGAAATTGCTAATCACTCTTTTCTTTGCATGTAAGGACATTTTCCAATCTCTGACGTGTTTGCTTAGTTTTTGAAAGGCATCATTGGCTATCATTATGTGCCTTCGGAATTAGTCTGCCTCTTTCAGAAAATTAATAACAGTTTTTCTTGTAGATTTTGTTGTTCTTAAAATATCAACGGTGATCATATTTCCTGTACATGGCCAATGTAGCACTTAAAAACTTAATTAAAAAAAATTATCAAAACCGTAATTTTATTGACAGCAGAACAAAGATATACAATAGCTGCATTGACAGACTTTAGCTGATTCTGACACAAGACCACCAAAGGTGAGCACTAGTTAAGGATAAAGTCCGCTTTTTTTTACATACGGCGATTCTGTAATTAAGATCTTTCAAGAATTGGCTGGGTCATTAGATCTGTACTGCACACATCTCGGTGTATTACTGAACCGAATCATTAAGACAAAAAGAAGATGGCGTCTGGATCTATCATAATTCCATATATATATATATATATATATATATATATATATATATACCCCTGAAGATCCGTTTAGATGAAAACCTAGTTAGGTTGTTCCTGGCTCTTTAGAATTTATATATATTATATATATATATATATATATATATATATATATATATAATGCCAAATCCGTATGTGGTAGGTATTATTTCAATGAGATCTTTTTTTTAATATAAAAATAATAATAAGTTAACTCCACGATGAGAGTTGAATGTTGACTATATAATTATATGATGACTAATTACGTCTTTTCCTTATATATATATATATATATATATATATATATGTGTGTGTGTGTGTGTGTGTGTGTGTGTGTGTGTGTGTGTGTGTGTGTTATACAATAGGCATTAAGATTACATTATGTTAATGATCATTTTCACCTTGTAAATTGAGATAAAATTTTCAAGGACTTTTCAAACCAGTCAATGGATGATAAATTTTTGAAGTATTATTTTTTTTTTACTATTCAAAAAATAGTTTTATTTCAATAATTTATCATCTATTGACTGGTTTGAAAAATCCTTGTAAATTTTATTTCAGTTTACAAGGTGATTATGATCATCACCGAATGTAATCTTAATTCCTATTGTATAAAATATGTTGCTCTGTTTAAATAAAACTTTGAGCTCTATGTGAGAATCAGTTTTAATATTTAATATTTTATACTGTATTAATAGGATTTATTTGGATTATATACAAACGGATTATTACCTATATATACATATATATATATGTGTGTGTGTGTGTGTGTGTGTGTGTGTGTGTGTGTGTGTGTGTGTGTGTGTGTGTGTGTGTGTGTGTGTGTGTGTGTGTGTGTGTGTGTGTGTGTGTGTGTGTGAAAAGTGTATATAAATATAAATAAATATATATATAGATATAATTATTTATATATTATATGTGCGGTACTTATTAGAAAGCGCTCAATATCAGAGATAGAGCTAACATATTTGGTTGGATAGATGTGAGTTTGTGACCCTGGGTTTCACGCTTTAGACAAACTGATATATATATATATATATATATATATATATATATACTTATTGATTAGTAGTGAGTGACATTGATTGAACTCTGTCAAGTTTGACAATATGGGTAACAGCCTTTGTCTGCTACTGCTTGCGCGGATAAGTTAGCTGAAGGAGGGAAATTGTTTAGATCACGTGATCACTTCTGAGTCTGCGCTCTGTCTCGCATCGTGGTACGGCATTGATAAAATATTTTGTAACAAGAAGTCAGAGCGCAGGGAGAAGTGGATTCGTGCCTTTCGCAAAGACTTCCTTGCCAATCGGTGGGTGTGGGTATAAAGGCTTTTAGACATGAAATTTGCACACATACAGACATTTTTGCTCTCTCTCATCATCATTCTCTATACACTTTAATTTCTTTCTGTCTGTCTGTACATCCATCCATCCATCTATCTATCTATCTATCTATCTATCTATCTATCTATCTATCTATCTCAGTTCCTTATTTATCTATCACAGTCTATTTATATCTATCTATCTATCTCTATTATCTATCTATCTCTTTTTGTTCCTTATCTATCTGTCTATCTATCTATATATATATATATATATATATATATCTGAGCCTGTTCATATCTATCTATCTATCTATCTATCTATCTCAGCCTGTGCATATCTATCTCATTCTCTTCCTGTCTGTCTATTTATATATTTATCAATCTCAGTCTATTCATATCTATATATATATCTATCTCCCTGAATACCTACCTACCTTAGACTGTTTTCTCTCTCTCTCTCTCTCTCTCTCTCTCTCTCTCTCTCTCTTTCTCTTTCTCTGTCTCTCCTTCTCTCTCTACATCGCACAAGCGGTCAGATTTTGAAAATAATTGCAATCCTTAAGAATTAGATTTCCTAACTCGCTCCTTGGCAAACTTATAAAACCGGAAGACAAGTGCTTTTAGGTTTTCCCAGCAAAACACAGGCTTTGGGCAAGATATAACTTAGCCAAGTAAAACTCACTCACCCACACCCACACAAACGCGCGCACACACACACACACACACACACACTGTCAACAGAAATAATAATACTTAACACCATCTACATGTTGACACGCATAAAATTCAACACTTACATATCTATTTCGCCAGGTTCCGTGCCGAAGTGACCTGACCACTGATGAGAAAGTTATTTTTTGATTTCTCTGGGGTGACAGATTATTTCAAATCTAAATCATCAATTCTTATTTTTTAATCCGGGTCTATCATTCTTTTTTTTTTTTTTTTTGCGCTGGAAAATTTGAAGAAGAAATATGAATGAGAAGGCCGGAAAATGCAAACGTAAATACAGAGTGAGGTAGAAATAACACCCACATCGACCTCCCAAAAATGCTTCCCAACATATAGCTTCCACCCAGAAATAACTCGCACATGTACCTCCCAGAAATACCTCTCACATAGACGGCCCAGAAATACCTACCACATATACGACCCAGAAAGACCTCCCACATATACGACACAGAAATACTTACAACATATTCACACCAGAAATACGTAACATATATACGACTCAGCAATACCTATCAGGTATACGATCCCGAAATACCTACCACATATACGACCCAAAAATACCTACTATATATACTCTCCAGAAATACCCACCACATATACGACTCAGGAATACCTACCACTTATACACCCCAGAAATACCTACCACATATACGACCCAAAAATACCTACCACTTATACACCCCAGAAATACCTACTATATATACCCTCCAGAAATACCTACCTCATATACGACCCAGAAATACCTACCACTTATACACCCCAGAAATACCTACCACTTATACACCCCAGAAATACCTACCACATATACGATCCAAAAATACCTACCATTTATACACCCCAGAAATACCTACTATATATATATATATATATATATATATATATATATATATACCCTCCAGAAATACCTACCACATATACGACCCAGAAATACCTACCACTTATACACCCCAGAAATACCTACCACATATACGACCAAGAAATACCTACCACTTATACACCCCACAAATATCTACCACTTATACACCCCAGAAATACCTACCACATATACGATCCAAAAATACCTACCATTTATACACCCCAGAAATACCTACCACTTATACACCCTAGAAATACCTACCACATATACGACCCAGAAATACCTACCACTTATACGCCCCAGAAATACCTACCACATATACGATCCAAAAATACCTACCATTTATACACCCCAGAAATACCTACCACTTATACACCCTAGAAATACCTACCACATATACGATCCAGAAATACTTACATATTGATTGCAGAAATACCTAGAAATAATTCAAATAAATACATCCTATATGTGCTTCTCAGAAATACTTTCCGCGTATACCTGCCAGAAATACATACCACATGTCGTTTCCAGATATACCTTCAACATATACCTCACAAAAATACATCCTGCATATATCACCTCGAAGTATCTCACAGAAATACTACCCACACATGCCTCAAAAATACCTCATAGGCCTGTCAAAAGTGCATCCCACATTTAACTCCCAGAAATACATCTCACTTGTACAGCTAGCCACACGCATCAGAGGATACTAGTCTACTAGCCTGTGACTTGCTCAGGTGCATTTGTGTTTATTCAACACCCACAGAGCCAACCTGTGGTTTATACTGCAACTCTGCTGAGCAGACCTTAGTTACAGTTTCTGGGAAAGAGCGTGTTATCTAGCGTAATCAACAAGCTGAACAAGGCCAGCACACTCAAGCCCTCGATCACGATGACTTGTAACTTCGTGCTATCCACGGCCCCTAAGGGTTCCGTCTAGCCAATTTCACTCACAAAGCTTGGGTCAACCAGTGCTATGGTTTTCAGGCACTTTCCAAAGTGGAATCCATCCCTCCAGTCCGATAACATCAGGACTGCCTGACAAATCGACCATGGTGAGATTCGAACCCGGGTCTTATGATCAGAACGCGAACTTTCTAACCACTCGGCCACATACCCATAAACTCCCACTTATACATCCCAGAAATAACACAAACATACACGTCCCAGAAATACCTCCAGATTATACTTCCCAGAAATACCTTCCACATATACCTCCCCACACAAAAATATTATATATATATATATATATATATATATATATATATATATATATATATATATATATATATATATATATATATATATATATATATATATATATATAATGGACAACGTCCGACAATTATTTTAAGACATTTTATGTTTATACGTTCTTTTTATAGGTAGAAATATTTAAGTAAATGCTCTGTTTATAATAAGATGACGCATATTTTTATGAGAATTTCTCGAACATTCAGGCCGGTAAATATTGTTTAATACTGTTTAAAATAAACAGAGCATTTACTTAAATATTTGTATCTATAAAAAGAATGTATAAACATAAAAATGTCTTAAAATGATTGTCCGTCTTTGTCCATTTCATAATGTGTGACGTCATTTGTTTACATTTGAATGCGCATCGAGCAGATATGAATGTTCGTGAGAGATTCATGGAAGATCGTAGTTTAAAAATAATAAAATCGACCCTGCTTGCCGGAACCCTCCTCTGTGGCGAAACCAATTAAAGCACGTCAGGCTATGTGACGGTTCCGTATAGGATACAGGTTCGATTCTTGTTGGTGGACGCCTATTTTTTATGAGAATGTCTCGGACATTCAGGCCGGTAAATGTTGTTTAATACTGTTTATTATAAACAGAGCATTTACTTAAATATTTGTATCTATAAAAAGAATGTATAAACATAAAAATGTCTTTATATATATATATATATATAAATCGTTTGTTTTTAACAATGGAATTAATATTTACCGGCTTAAAGTTCAAGTGTCGTATTAATCGATCTCTCGGCCGGTAGACGTTGACTTAGAAAATGAGAAATAGATATGTCTCTTCAAGCACGTGTACCCACTGAAAGTTAAATTTAGAGTAGTACGATAAATTTAACAATATCGAAATTGATCAATATCAAAAAATTCCTTAACTGGCAGTGAATATCTGTCTACACTTTTCTCCGTCACCTCCTCCTCCTCCTCCTATTATCATTATTATTATTATTATTATTATTATTATTATTATTATTATTTCCTTTGGTTTCTGATGTATACTCATTTCTTTACGGGTCCAGACCAGAGACCTAAGGTCAGAAATAGCATCATGACATTTTTCACTAAGCAGTTTGGAAGAAAAAATCACATATTTTACATTATTTTTTTGTATTTCTTTAAGTCATGGGCTACCAGGGATTTCTTCAATGAGTCTATCGGATCCTTTTCCAATCAATCCGATGGATCCAACTACAACTGGAATTGTAAATGTCCTCATACGCCAGATTTTTGAGATTTCGATTCCAAGGTCCTTGTATTTTGATATTTTTTTTTTTTTTTTTGAAGATCTTCAAAGATACATTGCAGTCAGCAGGGACTGCTATGTCAATAAGGAGACACGTTTTGTCTTTGCGGTTTCTAACCACGATGTCAGGGAGATTAGCTTTGAATTTTTCTGTTTGTGTGCATTGTAAAGTCCGATAGAATTGTAACAGGTCCTATCTCTGTAAGTGGGTCTGGGTGGTGTTCATACCAATTTCTTGCAATTTCCTTTCCGTGAGTGTTGCAGATTTTACAGTGCAGATATTGGCCCATTCTGTCATGCCATGTTTTATATTCAGTGGGTGCCAATACCGCACAACCTGATACAAGATGGTCAATTGTTTCTGGATTATTATTATTATTATTATTATTATTATTATTATTATTATTATTATTATATTAAATGTCTGGTATGTATGCATGAATATGAAGCTAGAGGAAATGAATTGATTTACCCCATTTAAAAATTCGTTAACTTTTACCAAAAAAAAAGCATCCTAGTGACTTGCAACCGAATGTAAATATTTTGGGGTCTGCATCCACACTGAACTGGAGAAAACAACTTTTCAAATACTAATCATAAGGGATATGCAAGCAACGCACCGGTTATCAAAATATAGAAAATTAAATCAGCAGAACGAGTTCAAATTCCAACGTTTCCTTTCGCACTAATTCCCTTAGAAGATTAAAAAAAAAAAGTATTAAAAAATTTCTTCTATCCCAAGCTTTGGGTTAAATAAAATAGTAAATTTCGTTCTCTCGCAGGGAGTAAAAACCGCTCTAGGAGAAAGACTACTCCGAATTCAAAAACGGTAGCGAAGGAACCAAGAAACCAATCCACTGTCTTTCCCAAGAAGTCATGGCAATTCACAGATATAAATTTTAAAGAAAGTAATCACTATATCGCCGACGTTCTAAAAATGGAACATTTACAAAAATGATAACGTAATGTCCTTTATTTACATACATAGTTATTTGAGCGCGGATAATAAATGTGACTACCATTTTTCATATAATACACAGAATAGAACGTAAACTGGGAAGGATCAAATTCAATGATAATCTTATTTCACATCAACATTTTTGCTTAAAGAGTAATAAAGTGTATCGTGGAATTGTTTAACTATAATTATTATTACTAGTGTACCCATACAGTCAAAATTGACGGCAAGAAGGAATGTATTATAAGTAATATGTATTATATTGTATGTAATTTTCGTTTAATCCAAGTACAATTTTGTAATTTAAAATAGTTCGTTGTTAACGTTAATAATAGAACAGTGTATAAACACTTAAGGAAAGTTATCCGTATATTATCTTCATAAATGTTACATATTTACAAACAATTTTTTTACTGCAACATTCCCCTAAAGCACAATATTTTTTTGTTTAAAATTTGGAATGTTTAAGGAATCCTTGACAGTCCGTAGATGCAAACTTTAATTTCAGAGCTTTATTTTTCGTCCCACTAAGAGCAACGTATCATCATATATTTTTTTAATTTATTTCCTCAAGACATGTTCCGAACCGTGACATAAAAACTACATTAAAACTATCTAATTATTTAATAGTATAAGCTTTTAATTGCTATCATAAATAATATAAATGAAGGTTGTAGTGTGATTAGAAAAACAAAATCTTTCGATGACTAATGAATTATTACAAGGATGGTTCCACCTCCATTTCTTCTTTTTAATTATAATTTTAAAAGTTTAAAATGAATTTCTAAAAATGAACAAAGCGTTCTTGAAGATATACATTGCTGTTCAATAAAAGTGACTCACCTGATTTTTTTTTCTAAATATTCTCTTCTCCGATGAAACGAAAGTTTAGCTAAATTCAAAGGATAAGCGATCTAAAATCCGAAGAAGCTTTGAAAGCTCTTTGAATTTAGCAGTAAGTACTGTCAAGCATCCGTTCAGTATAATGTTCTGGGGATGCTTTTCTTTTCATGGAACTGGTTTCTTAAAACCTATTGAAAAGACCCTCAGGAGCGAGCAGTACAAGAGAATTTTAGAGTCTTGTCTGCTCCCTTCTGCTGAAAGGGTGCAAATCGACCCCACCAAGCTCATTTTTATGCAGGAGAATGCTCCCTGTCACAAATCAAAATTGATGAAGGAATACTTTGATAAGAAGCAGGTGAGTGTTATAACATGGCCGCCCCAATCTCCTGACCTCAACCCCATAGAAAACTTATGGAGCATTATAAAGTACAGGCTCTTGAGAAAGCAGTTGAGTAACAAAGAGGATTTGATTGTGAATTTCATATCCGAATGGGATTCAATGCTTGGAGATGAGATTTGCCAGAACCTAATCAAGTCAATGCCAAAAAGGGTTGAAAGGTTATTCAAAATAAAGGAGGACCCATAAATTGTTAAATATTTCGAACTATATTACCTATTATAAATAAATTATACCTCTATTATTCTTTATTAAAATCTGTTCGGTTATGTTTCTATTGATTATTAGTTGCAGGAAATAAGTGAATCACTTTTTTTGTATAGAGTTTTTCCCTAAATCTCATTTATAATTAAAATTATAATTATCAATAGAATACCTTAGGGTGAGTAAACTTTTTTACTAGGTGGTCAGGAAGGGGTCTTTATATTAGTAAGACTAAAAATGAAATGACCCCAAAAACAATAGGCGAAAAGATTTTTAAGTAAAAAAAATCAGGTGAGTCACTTTTATCGAACAGCACTGTATATGGCGTACGAACCGTCTTCGATAAGTGATATCAGTAGGCGTCGATGAGACCAAGTTAGCACGGCACAAGGTGGGTCATCGCTATTTTGCACATTGACCCTCAATTGTTACAGACGAAAAAAACGTAAATAAATATATATGTGGCGTGTTATATATGTAGATTATTATTATTATTATTATTATTATTATTTCCTTTGATTTCCGGTGTGTACACATTTCTTTCCGGGTCCCAACTAGAGACCTAAGGTCGGAAATGGCATCATGACATTTTCCACTGACCAATTAAAACACACACACACAAACAAACACATACACACACACAATTTTACATAGATAAAGCCCTTCGTAATATGTAGGCTTTACTCATGAGAACAGTTTTTGTGTTTCTTTAAAGCATGGGCTTCCAAGAATCCCTTCAATGAGTCTATTGGAATCTTTTGCAACCAATCTGAGGGCTCCAACTACAACTACAACAGGGATTGTTGATGTTCCCGTGTGCCACATTTTTGAGATTTCGATTTCAAGGTCCTTGTATTTTGATAGCTTTTTGAAGATCTTTAAAAATACATTGCAGTCGGCAGGAACTGCCATATCAATAAGGAGGCATTTTTTTGGTCTCCGATAACAATGTCTGGACAGTAGGATTTGATTTTTCTGTCTGTGTGTATTGTGTAATCCCATGAGATTGTAACAGGTCCTATTTGCGTAACCGGTTCTGGGTGATGTTCCTATAAATTTCTTTCAGTTTCCTTCCCGTAGAAGTTGCAGATTTTCCAGTGAAGATATTGGCCAACTCTGTCATGCCGGGTTTTAAATTCAGTGGGTGCCAATACTGTGTAGCCTGATACAAGATGATCAGTTGTTTCTGGATATTTATCACTTATTAGTAGTATTATTACGATTCACATGAGAAAAGGAAAGAAAATGAAATTTGTAAACATACACAGATATTTTCGCTCTCTCTCATTCTCATATTCTATACTCTATAATTTCTTTCTCTCTGTCTGTACTTCTATTTATCTATCGATCAATCTATCGATCTATGTTCCTTATCTATCTCTGTTCCTTATCTATCTATCTGTTCATTATCTATCTATCTATCTATCTATCTATCTATCTATCTATCTATCCCAATTTATTTTTCTATCTCAATCTATTCATATCTATCTGTCTCCATTACCTATCTCTCTCTTTATGTTCATTATCTGTCTATCCATCTATCAATCTATCTGAGTCTGTTCACATCTATCTATCTATCTATCTATCTATCTATCTATCTATCTATCTATCTATCTCATTCTGTTCATATCTATCTCATTCTCTTCCCGTCTGTCTATTTATATATTTATCAATTTCAATATGTTCATATCTATATATTTATCTATCTGCCTGCATACCTACCTACCTTAGATTGCTCTCTCTCTCTCTCTCTCTCTCTCTCTCTCTCTCTCTTTTTACGATTCACATGAGAAAAGGAAAGAACAATGTCTGGTTTATAGAAGTTGGATTGTTATTGTTGTTCGGCTTACCATTTAGTCATTTTTCTTTAATCAATACTGTTCGTTTTTTGATCAATAGTATTTTTGCTCTTTGTTGAATAATGTCCATACAGATAGTACGAAGCCACTTCCACAAAACTCTAGCATATCCAGCCTTTCCCAAACCTCGCGGTCTCCAGTACTCCGATAAGGACTAGCAATACCATCACCCCCCCCCCACACACACACACACACACTTTCCTCAACTCTCTGGCAGAGTCTAGACGTTTATCCGGCTTTTCATTTCTCTTTAAATTGTTTCTGGTATTCTGTCGGAATAGCAAAATCCACACACGGGATTGTAAATGCTCCGATTGCAGGAAATGAAGAAATGGGAACGGAAGGGGGTTAGTTTTATGCAAAAACCGCAAAACAAAAAACATTAACATGATACCTCGAGTCATGTTTCTTAAGTGGACTCCTAAGATCTTGACACTCATGCGGATGTCATGCATATCACCAATCTCGTTCAGAAATATGGAAACTGTCAGCTGTTTACAGCCGTTTCCTCAGATTAACGATTACGAATAGCTTCAAGTGAATGAATCCCCTAGATCTTAAGATAATGCTACATCGAGACTTATAAGACTGGCGCTACAGAATCACAAACGAAGGCTTCGCAAAATAAACGTTGCTTGAAACTTTTCAAACAGGAACAAGAATATATATGCACGTGGAACTCGGTCATTTGGCATGGATTTGATGCGTGTCATGTCTGCGCGCATAACGTTGACCTGAATATTCAAAATGCATTCACTTGCACAGTTCCATGTGAAACACCCTGCCATTATGCAGAAACATGACCGACTCTATTTTGGTTTGGATCTTTAAATTCCGGAATATCTTATTCACTTTTGGAACATTCTATGGTTATTGTTATTATTATTATCATTACTATTATTATTATTATCCTATCATAATTTCTTTTCTTCTTTTCGTTAGTTCGCACGGCCGTTACGCCTTGCTAATGCCTGATAAATAATAGACAATTTTGTTTTGATCGCGTGGAAAGAGAGGAAAAGAGTATACTTGTTTTCAGCGAACAAAAGAAAGAAAGAAAGAAAGAAAGAAAAATGGACAGAAGGAAAGGAAATAGTTTAACGTCTCCTGTTAATACCTCATAACTAATGGACTATTCCATTTTGCTCGCGTGGAAAGAAGGGAAAAGACACTGCTTGGTTTCAGTGAGAAAAAGAAAAAAAGAAAGAAAGAAGAAAGAAAGGCAGGAAGAAGGAAAAAAGAAAGAAAGGAGGAAGGAAGATAGTTTAAGGTCTCTTGTTGATTGATACCTCTTAGTTAATGGACTATTCCGTATTGATCGCGTGAAAAAATAAAATACATATCAGAGACACTACTTGGTTTCAATGAGAAAATAAATGAAATAAAAAAAAGAAAGAAGGGAAGATAGTGTTTAACGGCTGTTTTAGAGAAATTAAAAAGTTTCATTTGTACCCCCTTACTTCTTAAAATAATGACCAGCATTCATATTTATGATTGTCATTGCAATATTTTGCTAAAGTTGTTAAGCTCAAATATTCAACAATGCGATAGAGGAATTTCTACGGATATTTTATTATCGTGGAACTCGCCATGAGCCTATTCAAACGTTAACTGAAGAATTAAGATTCATGAGAAAATTCAAATAGAAAAACCGTTAAATTTTCACGGGTCTTTCTAGTGATTATTATTATTAATAATAATCAGAACGAATGACGTATTTTCTTCTCTTGTACTTCCCGCTTCTAGAACTCACTTCCGGTTTCTTGCTTCCCACTCAACTTTGATCTTCAAAAATTTCAATGCATTGTCAGTCATTATCATAATTTATGTTGTGCACTTTAAAAAATTTATAACTTTATTTGTATCTGCGATAGAAATAATCTGTAAAAAATGTTATAAACTTATAATGTACATAGTTTTAAGTATAGCTAAAATAACTAATGTGATTTCAGGCATTACTGTAAATCAGTTAGCAAATGTTTTCCGTGAACCGCAAAATCGTATTACCCTTTGTATTGCTAATGATGGAAAACATGTGGAAACGTAAATAAAATTTCAATAAAACTTTAAAAAAAATATAGATTTACTTCTTTCTAATCCTTTTTACAAATTATTTCTATCGCAAATACAAATGAAGTTATAAATTTTTTAAAGTACACACGAACTTTATGGCACCCTGTATTGTCCTATCTCCTTAATAGTATATTTTTCTCATATTCTCTATATTGTACCATACGTACGGGCGATAATAGGTATGTCCCCATTCATATAAATACAGTAGTAAATACTGTATGTTGGTCTGCAGTTGGAAATTTGTCCTCAACTGTGCGGGTAAACTGTCTGCCTCCGGGCAGAGAGGATCCCCAGACGAGGCTACGTAGAAGAGCAGATTCTCGTCTCGGAAAACAGCTACCCGACACCGTTTAATAAGGGGTCTACGGGGAATTTTTGGCGGAGCCTACGAGGTCGGATACCCCACTTTAAATTCGGCCTTGTGCCACATCTGACCGCGTGGGGCAGTTAGTAGATATCCTGCAATTGGAGATTCAATGTGGAATTCACTTGACTCACTTCTAGCAGTTGACTACTTCATCTACGCGCCGCTGGCGATTCTTATATGTGTAGCTCTTTGTCCTAAATATTATCGGTCATTACCAACCTTCGTTTGATTATTCTATTCGTTACCTTACCTAGGTTGCAACACCCTAATACTCAGTAATCCCCCTTGCATCTTAGTGGCTTTATTGTCGTGCTTGGGGTGAAATGATTTTAAAAAATCTCTTCCAATATTTTACAACACTTCCAGAAGAGCTCGATTTCCAGCAAAGAAAATGAGAACCATTAAAATTTTCTGTTTTTCTCAAGTTATACGTAAAATCTACAAGCCTCATGAACAGATAATCTGTATACAAAAGTCGGTTATCTTGTTTTCACTTGTCGCAAGCTGTGTCAGGGGGATCGAGGTAAATCAATTGCTCGAAGTAATTTCGAAGCTCGAAGCACCACGTAAAGTGCGCTGTCTCACGACACGTCAACGGAGCTGGATATAAAAGGAGCCACAACACTCAACTTTAGCAGTCAGTCTTCTAGGACGTTCTCTCTTGGCTTTGCTCAACACCCGGTGGCAAGGCTACTCTCTGTACGTGTGGTTCTCTCTTTCTTCCCATAGCAACCATATCTATTGTCATTAGACTTGTCTTACAGTATTCCCTTAATTGTTAATACTCATCACTGGATTGTCTGTTGTCGGAATTGGGCGGCCGTGTAGACGCAGCCGTATAGGTGCTCCTTTATTTAAACATAAAATGTGGAACTGTTTCGATAATGTTGTAGAAGGAATGTCGAAAACAAACAAAGCAATTAAATAAGGCACAACAGTTTTGAACATCAAATAGGTACTCATCATCCTTCTATTTGGAAATTTATTGATGGACTAAAGAGAGAACAAAGTTTACAAGAATTGCGAATAGAGCAATATGTGGGAGGAACGAGTGCAGCTGAGGGCAGAAAAATGTACCATGACTGTGCAATGTGATTAAAGAACATTGTATCAAACTATGACACAACAATGTTGAAGAATATTTAAGAAGTGTTGCATATAATATTTCATACTAATAAAGTAAATAGTAGCAACAATAGTTATATATATATATATATATATATATATATATATATATATATATATATATATATATTTAAATCACGAAGTTTTTTAACCACAGGTTTCGAGCAATCTGCCTTTCGAGCAATTGATAGTTCGAGAAATTATTTTTCGAGCAATTTACTGTCGAAATTCATTGGTAGCTTTTAACCCAATACCACAACTATGCACTCTCACGTAGATGTGTGTATGAGTGGATCGAGGAGTTTAAAAGTGGCCGGACATGTGTGACGCCCGAAGAAAGAGCAGGCCTATCAAACTCCCGCAACGACAAGAAGATCCATCAAGCTCGAGAGATGGTAATGACGAGCTAGCGAGTTATCATTGATAGTCTAGCATGATTCAGTAGACTAATTGAAAGGATTCCTGGTCTATAGTCTATGCAGATTCGGATTACCTCTCGTTGTTACACCTTGGTACGCACTGCTGACGGAGCGGGCATGTTTACACTGTAACAGCAGCAAGAAAACTGGCGCGGTCAAACTCAATCTTTGATCACGTGACCACAATAATACCAACAATAAGTACGCGTGGACAGAAGGCATGTTATTACAAAGTGTAGATAATTTTTGACTTACCCTAGTACAAACATAGATCGTCTTTTTTTTTTTTTTTTTTTTTAAAGTGGATTTTTTTTTCAAGATAAGCGACATTTATATATAAACTAGTAGGCATGAGGCTAGTATGGATTCTTGTTTTATATGTAACCTGAAAAAGAGATACGTACTGTCGAAACTACTTTTAACATTGTTAAACACTGTCTTTTTCTTCTCCGGAAATCGAACTTTTCTGAAAGAGCTTATATTACTGTATTAAGTATTACTTCCGACACATCTCTTTACCTTCCATTCTACGTCATTGATAACGGCCACTACGAGCGCGTTGTGTATTAGTTAATGATCAAAGACAAATGATTTTCACACAACGTTGTAAATCTGACTTGAAGTTGTAAAAAAAATCACAAGGGACTGACACGTCTACACAAAAAAATACCCTGTCTGGTGACAATAGCTGCTGGTGGCGCCAGGGGTGGCAGTACCGCCTTAGCCACCGAAATTGTGTTACCTTGCTTGGTGGTTAATGGGGGCAGGGTATCGCATGTTATATGCAGAAAATTGTGTTTTGTCTTTGCTGTGCGTAGTAAGGGTTGCCCCTAAGTCTCAACCAGAGACTCCAGAGGAAAAGTTTATTTGTAGCAGAGGATGAAAACATGTAGATGCCAACTAACTAGAAAGGAGAAAATATGCAGTTGTGGTCACTGCATGGAGATAAATCTACACAAAATGTGAGAAGATGGCATTTACCTATTTTAGGGCTACCGGGAATTTGATCCATAT